GCCCTGGTCCAGGAAGATCCCACATGCCACAGAGCAACTAAGCCCGTTCATGCACTCTAGAGCCCATGAGCCACAGCTACGGAGCCCGTGTGCCTAGATCCCGTGCTCCGAAACAAAGAGAAGCCACTGCAATGAGAAGCCCACGCACCGCAACGAAGAGTAGCTCCAACTCGCCGCAAGTAAAGAAAGTAAGCGCTCAGCAATGAAGACCCAATGCAGCCAAAAATAAAATAAAACAAATAAATTTATAAAGTGAGTCTGTCATGAGGCCCCAGCTTCAATAGTTTACCAATCAATACTTTGTTCCAGTTACAAAAAAATGTGGTTATCTCCAAAAGTTTTAAAATTTAGACTATTCGTATCACTTAAAATCTGTTTTTGAAATGAGAGTTTCCGTCTTATTAATAGTATCACTTGGTTTTGAAATTTTCATAAAATGCAACCACATTGGGTTTTTGTGGGTTCGTTCACCAAATATTTGATGAGAGCCTCCCATAAGCTGAGTTCTATGCTCAGGAGCCAAGTATGCAGTAATAAAGAGACATAAAATAGTGGGTAATATTTTTTAGATCCGAGGTCAGTGCTACTATACAGAGGCTAATAAAATTGCTACAATGTCCTGAGCCAGTAAATGACTAAGCAGTTTGTTTTTCGTTTTAAATTTAGGTTAAGGTACACTTTTAATTTTAGTGTGATATACATGCAGAAGACTTCAGAAATCCCTAAGGTCACAGAATTTTTCTAAAATGTACACACTAGTGTAACCAGCAGTCAATATTACTTGCCCCTCAAAAGTACTCTTGCCCCCTCCCAGTCACTAGCTACTCCCTAAAGAGTAACCACTCTCCTGCCTTCTAACATTATTGATTAATCTTGCCTGATTTGAACTTTATGTAAATGCAGTCTTCTAATATGTATTCTTCTGCATATGTCTTCTGTTGTCTTCCTCACGGCATTATAATTGTGAGATTAAGCCATGTTGCTTGTAACTAGATCATTCTCATCTCATTGAGCCATTCTTCTGGTGATTAACATTTGGGTTTTTACCAGTTTTGGGTCGTCATCAATAGTGGTGTTATCTTTAGGAAATATAAGAATACATTTCTGTTTGTTATATACCTAGAAGTGTAATTGCTGAGGGGGCGGGATATGCATATGTGTAGGTTTGGTTGATACTAACACATAGTTTTCCAAAGTGGTTATCGTTTTTTTACATTCTCATATGAGTAATGTACCAGTGTTCCAGTTGCTCTACATTCTTATCAACACTTGACATTTTCTATCTTTTTCATTTTAGATAATCTCCTTAGGTCTGTAGTGCTTTTTAAAAGAAGACTTTCCTCTCTTTTTTATTGTGGTAAAATAACACATAATGTAAAATTTACCATCTTAACCATTTTGAAGTGTACAGTTAAGTAGTTTTATGTATATTCACATTGTTGTGAAACAGATCTCCAGAACATTTTCATGTTGCAAATCTGAAACCCTATACCCCTTAAACCAACTCCCTATTTTTCTATGACCCTAGCCCCTAACACCATTCAACTTTGTGTTTCTATGACTTTGAATATGATTTGTAAGTAAAATCATAAAGTGTTTGTCTTTTAATGACGGGCTTATTTCACTTTGAATTATGTCCTCAAGGTTCATCCATTTGCTACATGACAGGATTTCCTTACTTTTTTTTTTTTTTTTTTTTTGCGGTACGCGGGCCTCTCACTGTTGTGGCCTCTCCCGTTGCGGAGCACAGGCTCCAGATGCGCAGGCTCAGAGGCCATGGCTCACGGGCCCAGCCGCTCCGCGGCATGTGGGATCTGCCTGGACCGGGGCACAAACCCGTGTCCCCTGCATCAGCAGACGGACTCTCAAGCACTGCGCCACCAGGGAAGCCCTCCTTACTTTTTAAGTCTGAATAATATTCCTTTGTGTGATTCAATGAACATGGGTTTGCAAATATCTGTTTCAGACCTTACTTTCAATTCTTTTGGATAAATATTCAGAAGTGGGATTGCTTGGTCATATGGTAGTTCTATTTTTAATTTTTTGAGGAACTTCATACTGTTTTCCATGGCAGTTACACCGTTTTATAACCCCACCCACATATGTAGTGCTTTTAAGTTTTTTACTTTGCTAGATGACTAATAATGTTGAGCATATTTTCATATGCTCAGCATCTGTTTGGATATTGTCTTGTGTTGAGCTTATTTAATTTTTTCAGCCAGTTTTCTACTTTGCTTTTATTACTCATTTGAGGAAGTTCTTTATATATTTTGGGTAAGAATAGTTTGTCGATTATATATATTGCAGCTATGTCTCCCACTGTATTGATTGCCTTTATACTTAATCTTTTGTTAGTTAATGCTTTTGATAAACAGAAGTTCTTAATTTTAATATACTCCAGCTTCTTAACTTTTTCCTTTAGGATTATTAAATTTGGTAATCTATTTTAAAATATTATAACTATTCCAGGTCTTGAAGGTGTTTCCTTCTAAAAACTTAATGATTATCTTTCATAGTTAGATCTACAATACAACTTGTCACTCGTGTGAAGTAAGCATCAAGATTCTTTTTTTTTTTCCCATATGGATGTCTATCCAGTACCATTTATTGAAAGACTGCTTTTTTGCATTTCACTGCAGTGTCAACTTTGTCATACGTCAGGTGACCATATTTATATGGATCTGTTTTTTTGTTTGTTTGTTTGTTTTTGCGATACACGGGCCTCTCACTGCCGTGGCTTCTCCCGCTGCAGAGCACAGGCTCCGGACGCACGGGCTCAGCGGCCATGGCTCACAGGCCCAGCCGCTCTGCGGCATGTGGGATCCTCCCGGACCGGGGCGCGAACCCATGTCCCCTGCATCGGCAGGCGGACTCTCAACCACTGCGCCACCAGGGAAGCCCTATATGGATCTGTTTTGTTCCATTGATTTCCTTATCTGTCACTGCACTAATACTAGAATATCTTAATTACTATAACTTTACAGTAGATCTTGATACCTGGTAAATCACTTTCTCTGTCTTTGTTCCTTGTCACTTCTTGGTCCTTTGCATTTCCATATAAACTTTGCAACAAGTTTGTCAATTCCACCCCCAAACAAAACTAATTCCTCAGTAGCTGTGGCACACGGGCTTAGTTGCTCTGCGGCATGTGGGATCTTCCCGGACCAGGGATCGATGCCGTATCCCCTGCATTGGCAGGTGGTTTCTTAACCACTGTGCCACCAGGGAAGTCCCTCTGGTAGGGTTTTGATTGGAATTGTATCAAATCTGGAAACCAATTTCGGGGAAATTGACGTCATTATAATAATTACTCTTTCATGAAAATGGTATCTCTCTTCATTTGTTTAGGTCTTCTTTAATTTCTTTCAATAATATTTTTTATAGTTTTCAAAGGTCTTATACAGGTTTAATACTCGTCTTACTCCTTTTGGACTGCTATGGGAAAATATCAGACTGGGTGGCTTATAAACAACAGAAATTTATATCTCACAGTTCTGGGGTTTGGAGCTTGAAGATCAGGGTGCCAGCATGATTGGTGGTCCCTCCTCTCTTTGTGTCTTCACGTGGTAAAAGGGGCTGCATAGCTCTGTGGGGTCTATTTTATGAATTGGGGGTGGGCATAAATATCCATATCATAGCAATACTTAAGCAGCTTATTAAACCTATATCTGAATTTAAAGACTCATTATGTTTAATTTTCCATTATTCACTCAAGGAAATATGGAAGATCTGACAAAGGCACAAATACAATGAATACATAGCATTTTAGCATTTCCCACGCAAAGACTGGATCACTATAACTTTGTTGGTTTGACAACATGAAGATTATCTGGTGTAATTTTGTTTGCTACAATATATCATTTTGCATTTGAGCTTATTTGAAAGCAAATGTATTCTTATTTGGCTGTTAAAGGACATATAAATATAGAAAAAAATTTTAATATACGTAATTGTGTTTAGGGGGAAGGTCCTAAAGCCAACTCTACTCAAGGGATGCCTTGGTAGCAATGATTGTTAACCATCTGGAGTGACAGAAGAAAGTGATATTGGGTAACTAACATCTTAAGAAGTTTCATCTCAAGTTTTTGTAATATTATAGCAACAAAAATAGAATATTAATTATGCTATTGGGTGCTCCATTCTCGTCACAGGGGTGGGCAGTTTCATCATTTACTGATTAATGTGATCAGTCTCACTGTAAATTTGTGATTATATGGAGGGACTTTTAAACATAGTTGGATGGTTTTACATGATGTCAATATTTTAATGTAATTAAAAAAAATAAACACTAGGATAAACACTAGGACCACCGGGCAGTATTTTAAATACTTAGGAATCCTTTTTTAGCAACTCATGGTTATGATGCAGTGTAAGATAAAAGGATAGATATTCAAAATGAATTGTTGTAATTTGCATTCTCCATGTCAGGTAGACCACCTTAATCTTATGATAAGTTGGGTATGAGAAATCCCTGTGATAGCATGGAAAAAAATCACAGGAATTGCAGGAGTATTGCTTTATGTATTAGTTATTCTATATGGCAAAACCATTTGCCCAAGGAAAACATCAATAACTTTCCTCAGATGCTAAATACAGCACTCAGAGTTTATTTTTAATGCTGGGAGTACTAGGTTATTTCTATCTAGCTAGATTTGTCCTGTTGTGGCAATTATGGAAGAGCAGATGAGTTAATTAGGCTCTTTTCCATGGGATCTTCTGTTGTCTGTTTTGCAATACTGTATCAACAGTGAGATAAAACACAGACTGTTTCCACAGATTTCTGCCTGTTGTTTGTTAGTCAAGTAACCTTGGATACCCTGTGATGAGTTGTATGGAGGCAGCTAGTCTAACACCTGAAGGTCCTATAGGCTTCAACCCTTTAAGAAATAGTAATTTTTTAAAAACTAGAATGTAATGATGCAGAGCTTTAAAAACAATATCCACTGCATTTGACATTAGGTTTCTTGTTTTCCATAAATGTATGCATTCTGCTTTGGCAGGTTTTAAGAAGAAGCAGCGATGAAGAGAAAGTTCTTTGTCTCGTTCGACAGCGTGCAGGCCACCACTGTCCAACAGCTGTGATGGTGGTGCTCATCATGGTATGGGACGGCATCCCTCTTCCAATGGCTGACAAATTGTACTCGCAGCTTACGGAAAGTCTAAAGTCATACAATGGTCATCCCACAGACCGAAGATGCACTCTCAATGAAAAGTAATCAAATCTGTTTTGTACTGTTTTGCCATTCAGTCTATTATATCATGTTAAATTAACTACCAACTACATATGTTATATGGGAGAACAGAATTTTAGGTATTGTGCAACTAAAGAGTGAACATTTCTTTAAAGAGAGACTTGGTTTCATAGTGGGTTAAGACCATTTTAGGATATTCTCCTTTAGAATATTCTTTTCTTGCTTCTCTCTTTGGTACCTGATCCTTCTCACCCCTGGAGTCTGGAGCAGAGAGGTTTTTCTATAAAGGAACAGCTCCTCCATAAGGAATTGTACAATTTTGCATTTCCTATAGCAATGTAAGAGAATAACTGTTTTTCTGCAGTTTTCCAATGTTGTGAAACTTGAGTTTTTGCCCATCTAATAGAGGATAAATGTCATCAGTTTACGTTGATTTGAATTTTTCATATTATGAATAAGAGTATTTTTTCATATGGTTAAGAGCATTTGCCGTTTGTTTTTTATTTTTTTAATTTTGTTGACGTATAATTGATTTACAATGTTGTGTTTAATTTCTGCTGTACAGCAAAGTGACTCAGTTATATATATGTATGTATATATACATATTCTTTTCTATTTATGGTTTATCACAGGATATTGAATATAGTTCCCTGTGCTATGCAGGAGGACCTTGTTGTTTATCTATCCTATATCGTAACAGTTTGCATCTGTGAATCCCAAAATCCCAGTTCTTCCCTCCCCCACCCCTTGGCAACCACAAGTCTGTTCTCTATATTTGTGAGTCTGTTTTTGTTTTGTAGGTTTATTCATTTGTGTCGTATTTTAGATTCCATGTGTAAGTGATATCATATGGTATTTGTCTTTGTCTTTCTGTCTTACTTCACTTAGTATGATAATCTCTAATTGTATCCATGTTGCTACAAATGGCATTATTTTGTCCTTTTTTATGGTCAGCCATCTGTTAATTATTCTACCCCCTATTTCAAAAGGAGTGTTCATTTTTTTCTCTCCCTTTGCGATTTAATTCTAAATGCTTTTGCCACTTTGATATTTGTCTTTTTACTTCTGCTATGTCACCTTTTGCACAAGTTTTCTTTTTAATGTAATTTATTGTATCTATCTTTCCCCTTATTGTGTCTGAATTCTGAGTGGTATTTAAGAACATTTTTCTCTCACGTGAGTTATAGAATAATTCACCCATATTTTCTTTTATTGTTGAAATTGGAAATTTTAAAACGTAAATCTCTGATGCATTTCAAATTTATGCTGGACAGAAGTGGGAAGAGGAGATCCATTTCTATTCTTTTTTCCATTTATCCCAATACTACTTACTAAAGAGTACTTTTCCCCTTGATTTGAAATACTACCTTACACAAAAACTGTATATAATGGAGTCCTCTCTTTTATATGAATTCTGTATCACTGTCTGGTCTTTTCACGTACTAGTACCACATTTTTTAAGTTATAGAGGCATTATAATATATTTTAATATTTGGTAAGGCTAGCTCACTATTCTTGCTCTTTTTCAAGGCTTTCTTTGTTATTTTATGTTTGTGCTTCCAAATGAACTTTATAATCAATTTGTCTAGTTTTAAGATAAATCTAATGGTATTTTTAATGGGATTGCATTAAATTAACTTAGAATAAACTGACATTGTTATGATATTGAATCTTCCAGTCCCATAATATGATTTTTCTTTCCATTTGTTAAAGTTTACTTTTATGTTCTTCAAGTGTTTTGTATAGTTTTCCTCATAAAGTTCTTTCTTTTTTAAAAGAAATGTCATTATACAAATTATAAACAAAATATATATCATTCACTCTCTAACCTCCACACAAGATTATTTGTGTACCTTCCAGAACATTCCTTTATGTTTAAAATCATTTCATTATATTTTTGTTAATCTTCCTAATCCCAAGTATGTATACGTCACTTATTTTTTGAATTTTTGAATTTTATTTTATTTGTTTTTTATACAGCACTTTCTTATTACTTATCTATTTTATACATATTAGTTGTATACATAATTTTTAATGTTTCTATTTTGTTATGTGGATTCACAATAATAAAATACCTCTTGTATAGAGAAACAGTTCTAAATGATATACATATAAACTTATTTTTCCCAAGAATTCATAAATAGTTTTATTCTATTTCACTCAAAGTAGATCCAGCCTATCACTTTTAAAAATTTTTATAATTACAGAAATGATGCAAGAATATTTCAGTGAACTCTTATATACCCCTTACCTAGATTCCACAAATGTTAATGGTTTGTTACATATACGCTTATACACATGGTCACACATACACATAAGCTTACATGTTATTATCATTATTGCTTTTCTATACTTTCTTTCGGGATAATTTGTGAACTAGTTGCAAGCTTTATGACTTTTCCCCCTAAATAATACTTCAGAGGGTGTTTTCTAAGAATGAGGACATTCTCTTAACACCAGTACAATTATCAAAACCACGAAGTTTCACTTAGATAAAATGCTATTCTCTAATTCAAATATCATCTATTCTCCAGTAATACTTCATACTAATTTTCCCATACCCATGATTTATGGATTGAGTTGTTTTGTCTTTTGGGTCTCTTAATCCTTTTATCTCAGTCTTTTTTTGTGTTTCGTGGCATTTCCTTTTTGAAAAGGACAGGCTAATTTTGTAGACTGTCGCTCAATTTTGGATTGTAGGATTGTTTCTTCCTGATTTAATTCAATTCAGGAATTATTGGCAGGCTATAATATTAGGAGCTATTTTAAGTCTATTTGTCTCATCATTGGTGATGTTGACTGTTTAATAGAAACTTTTAGGTCTCACAGTTAAGAGTTAAACTACATTTTTCTACTTGTTTGGCAACTTCTTTGAAATTCTGCAATTTCAAATTTACCTTCTTTGATCCTATTTATATCCTATTTTTCTTCCTTTTCAAGTTATTGTAATCTTTTGCCCCTTTAAAAGCATATATTCCATCTTAGTGGAAGTTAGAATATTTGAACTATTCCTCCTTCCTTTTTTCCTTCATAGTGTCTTAAATGATCCTTTTTACATTCAAATATACCAGGCATTTTCCTGACTTTCACAACTAAAAATACTTATAGTTTTTTTTTTTTTTTAAGATTTTATTTATTTTTGGCTGTGTCGGGTATTAGTTGCAGCACATGAGATCTTCTTTGAGGTGTGCGGGATCTGTCGTTGTGCCGTGCGGGCTCTTCCTTGTGGTTCTCAGGCTTCTCTCTAGTTGTGGGGTGTGGGTCTTCTCTTCTGTAGTTGTGGCGCGCAGGTTCCAGAGCACATGGGCTCTGTAGTTTGTGGCACACCGGCTCCAGTTGAGGTGTGTGAGCTCAGTAGTTGTGGCACTCAGGCTTAGCTGCCCCGCAGCATGTGGGATTTTAGTTCCCTTACCAGGGATCAAACCCACATCCCCAGCATTGTAAGGTGGATTCTTTACCACTGGACCACCAGGGGAGTCCAAAAATACTTACAGTTTTGATCTCTAAATTTCTATATTCTTTTTACTCACTGTTTTTTAAAAAGTGTGTTAATTGTATTTTTTTAATTTAAGTAATTTAATTTTATTTATTTATTTATTTTTGTCTGCACTGGGTCTTCGTTGCTGCGTGTGGGCTTTCTCTAGTTGTGGCGAGCAGGGGCTACTCTTTGTTGCAGTGCACGGGCTTCTCATTGCGGTGGCTTCTCTTGTTGTGGAGCACAGGCTCTAGGCTCGCGGGCTTCAGTAGTTGTGACATGTGGGCTCAATAGTTGTGGCTCACGGCCTCTAGAGTGCAGGCTCAGTAGTTGTGGCACACGGGCTTAGTTGCTCCGTGGCATGTGG